ATGAACCTGTTCAGCTGTCACTGCACTAGCTTCCATGTGACAATAAGTAGTGAAGGGTGGAGTACCTCAGCCCCAAAGAGTGTGTTTGTAAATTCAGATTAAGAAACTGGGTGAGATTGGAATGTGTTTCACAAGATGTATTGAAAAACCCAGCCACAGTTTCACTGTCACCTGAATGCTCCTGTTGGTGATTGTCAAGATTTTTCCATTAAAAGGATAAAATCCCTGCACTTAGTCATGACAGGTCTTTATCCTGGAAGTTACATTCCTCACTTGTGGTCTCACTTAGGACATTAGTGTAGGTCTGATACAAAGGACACCCCATCTCCTGTCCAATCCTCCTGCCAGCCATTCCTGTCTCCACAATTAGCTAGGCAGCTGGGGTGATTCTTTGTGCTGGTGCAGCGTGTTTGCTCAAGCTGAGATGGTTTCTTGCTGCCATGAAGGAAAAGGTTAAGAACTAAAACAAGCTCTTCCATCATCTCTAAGGCATTAGGAGCCTGGTGCTGCTTCTGCTTTGCAGAATTCCAACACCAGATGGACTGGACCTTACTGCCTTCTCTGGAAGGCAAGCCAGCTGCGGGGGAATTATAAATACCCTTTCCTGCGGTGGATGGGAGCGTGGCAGGAGGGAACTCAGCACATGCTTGTGGCTTGGTTCAGATTCAAGCAATGTGAGCCTGTTCTGGAAATATGTCAATTACAACCAGTGCCATGTCATCATACTTTGTCTAGAAATATCTGAGGGGGTAAATCCTGGCCCTTTTGGAGGTGGAGGGCCTTCAATGCTTATTTCAGTCTCCTTGTGAGGATGCAGCAAATCAAGAGGAGGAGCAGATGGCATTAGAAGATGGATTAATAAAATGAGGAAGAAGGCTGCTAGCAGTGCAGATTCCCCCCATCCTTCCCTCTTCCTGGGAAGGCTTCTGCACTCTAATGCAGAGCTCTGTGCCTGGCTGAGAAGAATGGTCCAGTTGCTGAGATGGATGTAGTGTTTAGTGTGTCCACTTCTTTATCTAGGATAATGGATAATGACACTTCTTTTAAACATCTGAATGCAAGTGAGTCTGCATTCAGTGTTGTCTGCTGCCCAAAGGTTAGACTTAAAAGTAGCTGAACAGTCAGGGAGGAGGATGAAGAGATGTTTGTATGATACTGAAGTCACTGTTCAAGGCAGTAGTGCAGGACTCTGGAGAGGAAATCGACTTGAGGAAGCAAACTAACATGATGTAATGCTCTGAGAAAAACCACCAAAATCAGGAACTGCACCAGCCTCAGTGTTGCACCTTTTGATCTGACTCTTCTGCTGTTGACCAGAGGTGCAGTACTACACAGTCTCTGCAGGTGATGAGGCATTTGCCTTTCATTTTGCTGGGTCAGAATACTGGATATCATATAGAGATATGACATCATCTGTAAAAGTTAAGTTTAGCTGCAGCTAATCACAGTGATACTTATGTGAGGTGTTTCTCTCCTAACCCATACTCTGCAGGTGTAATGCTTCTTGGTTTAACCTCTTTTCTGAAGTGGTTAAACCATGCTTGAGCCATTCACGTTGACACCTGGTGGAAGTATGTGAAGTGCAACCAGGCAGGTTGACCTGGTTACCCAACAGCTTGTTACACACCTGTAATTTTGTACCTTAAATCCTAATACTGCAGGGGGAGGGTTAATGGTAAGTGTGACTCACAACCTGTCTTGACAGCTCTGATAAAATCTGTGCAAAGGGGTTTTGGAGGATCACTTGCTCTGATCACACCAGCTTATGTGGGTGCTTGTCTCCAAACTCCTGTCTGCTGGCAGAAATCTTATTTGAAGATTGGAAGTTGCCAGCTCACATGAAGCTTGTCAGTGACTTTAGCAGAAGGATGTTTAAGCTGTATTTATGATGTTGCATCACAGGTTGAGCATCAAAGAGTTTGGGTTTTTTTTTTTATTCTCTTTGAACAGACAACAAAAACATTGGCCAGGTTATTGGAAACTATTCTGGTTCTTGAGCTTGTGTCTGTTGGGTTCTGCCACTGCTCTGTGCTGAGCTCAGTCCATGTTGGGGATGGATGACATCTGTGAAGTATTCAAGTGATTGGATTGGTAACTGGGGCATCTGTGACAAATAACCTTTTCACCTGGCTGTGAGGGCTGCTAAATGCTTGCCCTCCATGCAGGTGTTACTCATAGCCAGGCAGGAGCTAAGTGTAAGTTAGGACTGTGCTTACTGTAGAGAGCATGTGTAGCAGCTTGGGTACAGGTCTGGTTTGCAGCAGTACTTCTTTACATTCCCTGGTAAAGGTGTCTCAAAGTAGGTATGAATTAGTTTGTCATCTGCTTGACCTTCTTTCCTCAGTGACAGGATGGTAGAGAGGCACTGTGACAGGAGGGCCAAGCAAGCTGGTCAGTTCTGCTCAGCAGGGTGGTGTGATGGGGCTGCGATAGTGTGCTGAAAAGCTGGTGTTGTATTTGTTTTGTGTTGGTCTGTTCCAAATGCTAGCACTCTTCCCATGCAAGGAAGGAAGAAGAATTGTGTTTAATATTCATTTTCAGTGAAACAGTTAATTGTAGAGTTCTCTAAGAAGTGAATGTATTCCTTTTCTTAGTGTTCTCTTAGTTAAACTGAGCCTAGATGAAAGCACTGGCTTCCCAAGACAGCTATATCAGCACAAGGTCATTTTGGTTTTGTCTCATTGTTTCATGTGCATTAAAAGGAAACAAATCCAGCTTGTACACCTGGAAGATGAGAGTTAAATCTAATACACTTCCTTCTTCAGAAAGGAGAGCAGGACCAACCCTGATTGCCTTTGAAAACTGAAATGTTTGGGGTTCAACATATGTAAAAAATAAAAGGTTTTATGTAGCTCTGCATAAGAAAGGAAAGAATAACTATAGTCCTTAAACATGCTGGGAGAGAAAGGTATTTTCCACAGAACTGAAAACATTTGATAAAAAAGGCCCTTCTTGAAGGCAAAGTTCTGTTGTTGTTTTTTTAACTTGAATTGTTTCCCTATTATTGCTAATCTGTGGTTTGACCAGCACGTTATGCATTGCACGTAACTGTGAGATGGTTATGGCAGCTTGGATGGCTCAGATCTCTGCTTATCTGCAATAGCTGTACCTCAGCCTGGGTCAGACTTGCAGCAGGCAGTTGTGTTTATTTGGTAACTGAGATCTGCTCTTTATTCTTTGTGACCTAGTAAGAGATACAGAAGAGATAGTCTGTAGAATAATAATATGCTCAGTACAGCTTTTGTGTAGCAAGAATGGCACAGGGTACACAGTGATCCAGTTTACACTGGAGCATGAAAATGGCTGTGCTGAAGGCTTTGGGAAAGGGAAAACGGCTGTAGGAGAAAGTAAAGGCATTGCAGGCTTGTGTGGCAGATTACCAGTTTCCCCCCTGTAGCAGTGGAATGACAATTGTAACAGCCATTTCTTTGCACACTATTGTTGTGTTTGAACAGACGTGTTTTGTTTAGGAGTGTGGTCCTGGGCTTCAAATCATATCTCAGACATCTGTGATAAAGTGGGGACCTCTGAGCTGCTTTGTCCTGTCTTATTTCAGATTAGATACTGTGGCCCCGTAAATGTGGGCAGGCTCAATCTTGTGCTCTGTAAGGGAATAGTGCTGGGGTTTTATATCACTCACAAAAATGTGGATAATATATCTTCATAGGGCATGGTGGTGGTTGAATTTCGATAACTCGAAAGAGGCACTGAGATGTAAAACCATGAGGATGTTGCATCCCATTTGTTTCCCAGGGAACTACCCCTTTGTGCTACAGGCTGCCATGTAGCCAGTGGTGGTTATGCCTGGAGCCCCTAAGTGAAACTCTTCCCCAACAAGTGATCCAACAATGGTCTGACCCCTGGACCAGCATCTGGATTGAACAGGGACACAAGGAAAGGCCAAGTGCCTGAGCAGTGCTGCAGGACTCGTACAAATGGGAAGAACATCTCCAGTCTTTATTGAGGCTGCTGAGCCTCCGCAGCAGTAGGCAGCAGAGCCCTGTGTCACACAGAAAGGCCTTGGTGGTGGCCACAACCATGCAGTGTTCACTGACACCAAGGACAGGAGGCACTGGCTGTACCTGCCAGTGAGCTGCACAGCTTGTCTGAGTGTGCCAGCAGGACCAGGGCTCTGAGCAGGAGGAGCCCATTCCTCACAGTGCTTAGGAAGCTGCCAAGTGCAGTTCATCTTAGAATGTCATCAGGCACAGCAGGGACAGAGTGTAGGGGAAGGGAAAGTTTGGGACATGGCTCCAGAAGCATTGCAACTCCTGCTTTGCAGCCCGTCAGCAGGTTCTCACCTTTGGGGTGGCAGCAGTTCCTGGTTCCCACTGTGCTCCTGCACGATCAGGAGCTGCTGCCTCACCCAGGACAAGTGTTTCATTCTTTCCACTTTGAGGTAGAAGCAAGAAAAGAGTATGCTGGATTTCAGAAGGGGGCAGTAGCTACTGTCCATATCATACAGCAAATTGCAACCAAAGTTCCCAGTTCAGGGGCATTTATGAGGTCTAGAAAATGCAGAAGGAGGTCCTGAACAATGAGTTGCTGAAAACGGGCTCAGGTGCCTTGTGGAAAGGAGCAGAAAGAAGCTTAAAAAGATATATATTTTTTTTTTTTCTAAACAGGCCAGGTAATCTGATCCTTGAAGGGACAGCAGAATAAACTTGGTAGAGTCATAGAACATGAGCCTACAAACTTAAGAAGTGCTGGATCCTCCAGCAGAGCAATCTGGGCATTGCAAATGATAGGGCAGGTTTGAGTAGAATGTGTCTTTCTGTCTCCATTAGAGATGCTTAAAGAAGCTCAAGTTCTAAGAATTTCAGTTAGATGTCTGCATTTAGCTGGATCAATATAGGCATTATGGGCTTATAGTACTCTTGTGCTGAATTAAAGGGGGGAAAAAGGTCCAATGTGTTTAGTGAATCAGTTTTTCCTGGAAGAACATATTCCCAAAGTGTAAAATTACCTTTTTTTGTTTTTTTTTTCTTCCTTTAAATCAGTTTCAATGACATGAATGGAGCTGAAGTGATGCACAAGGCTGGGCAGAACCCTCTCTCAACTCAGAATTTCTCCTCAGGTAAGCCACTGGCCTGCTTTAACATCATTACACCATCAGTGTCATGCTTTGTGCCCTGTGGTAACAGTGTAAAGCCAGCAGTGCTGGGGAGACAATGATATTCTTTTATGCCTTTTCTGTTCTAATGGGCCCAGCAGACTAAAGACACCTTGGGGTGCTCACAAATGAAACACAATGCTTGGGATGAGCTGTGTGTGCAGGTGGAAATTCCTGTGACTGTTTCTAATGTGATGTATAGTTGGTACACAGCTCCTGCCCTACCCTCTGTCCTCTGAGCTGGGGCTTGCTGGAAGGGGATTCTCAGGAATGCCTTAAAAATAAGGGAATGTCACGCAAGGAAAGATGGGGGTTCTGCCCCAAGCTCTCCCATCTCTTTATGCTGTGTCCCAGGAGCTGTCTTTGGCTGTTTTCTCTTGCTTGTTCTGCGTCTGTGTTTCTTATACTGAGTTTAGTGAACATGCTTCCCTCAGAGTTTTTTCCTGTCAGTGTCACAATGAAGTAAAGATACATGGGTAAAACACAGAGGTTCCTTCCAGAGCACTCTTTCTGTGCACAGGACAATTCAAGGCAGCAGCAAAGCATCACAAAACCCACAGTATACTGGTACTGTATTGTAAGACCTCTTGAACAGCAGTTGTTGGTTATGTTTGATTGGCTGAGGAGCCAGGAATTATCAGCAAGTAGTAAAAGCCAATCTGACTGAAGAGTAATTGCTCTAAACAAAGCTATAAAAGCATTTATATGTGATTGGCTGGGAGGTATTGAGTGAATTTAATAAATCTGTTTCTCAGTTTCTCAAAAAGCTCCTAATTTTTAACAAATTCTGTCTGTGAATGTATCAGTGAAAAATGACAGCATATTTATTTGAGGATGGAGTGCATATATTTAAGTTGTAATACTGTTGGCTGTCTGATAAACCGTGAAGTAAATCATGAGAAGAACTTTTAGAAGTAGCTCACAAGGCTGCAGAGCTCCATGGGAACAGGATGGGTCCATGAGTCACAAGCTGAAATGGGCCTGACTTCTCAGGATTGATTAGTGAATGCTGCTTAAAGAATCTTCCTCCTCTTGGAAGTCAGCATTTTGACTTAAAACCTATTTCATTTAATACTGAGTGATTTTTGTATGAAAAAAGGACTGTAGCTGTCATTGCTGAAAGCTAAATGTACAGCTAGAGCAGAAGTAAATAGTCACATACCGTGAAGGCTACGTGCTGCGGCTCAATAAGCACCCACAAAACCCATCTTTTCTCATGAATGGCTTTTTCTTCTCAGACTTCTAGTTCCTGAAAGAGTTGGTATGTAGGAGACTGTGCAGTACACCTCAAACTTCATCAGACCCAGTTAGCCAGAAGAGAACAAGACAGGTTCCAGACAGAAGGGCAAAAGCTCTTTGGTTTTCTCAGAGAGGTTTCCCATTACTGCGAGCGTTCTCACATCACCCCCTCCTCTGCACAGAAGGGAACCTACCAAAGCACTGAAACTAATCGCCTTTCTCCTGGATGAAGGAGCAGGGTGTGATCTACAAAAACTTATCCACAAAGACTGCTTTGGGCAACAGCACAGAATCCCCTGGCTGCTGTCAATATTGTTTCATTCCTGGAGACCTCTGTGGCCTAAAACTCAGAACTGAAAGAGAGTAGATCTAGGTTAAATGTAAAGAAGCTCTTCCCTGTGAGGGTGCTGAGGCGCTGGCACAGGGTGTCCAGAGAAGCTGTGGCTGCCCCATCCCTGGCAGTGCTCAAGGCCAGGTTGGACACAGGGGCTTGGAGCAAGCTGCTCTAGTGGAAGGGGTCCCTGCCTGTGACAAGGAGTTGGAACTGGATGAGCTTTAAGTCCCTTCCAACCCAAACCATTCTGGTTCTATGATCACCATGGCCAATGACAGGAAAGGGAAGATGCCTTGTGATTTTAGGGTGAATCTGACCAGTGGTGAAAACAGTCATTCGTGTCTTATGGAGTGATGGCGCTGCAAGTAAGAATATATCCCAGGTAACATGTCAGCCAGCCAACCTGACCTAAGTAGTGCTGTTTGCTAAACCCAGGCTGTCATCAGAGTCTCAGAGATGAGGGGTTGGGTTTTTAGGGCTTTGAGATAGACTTGTCTCAGCTAAAAGAAGTTAAATAACACCCAGATGATGTAAGTGTTCCTCACAGGCTTTTTGTTGTGTGCATGAATGTTTCCAGTAGATAGGAGCAGCCCTGAGTACTGTTGTTGCTATTTGTATGTAGCTACATGACCATATAGCTGTCTTCACAGACACCAGCTCTAAGTCACTCTGCTGCAAAGGATTGAAGATGGGGCCATACACTGAAATCACTCTGAAACTGAAGCCATCACAAAATAAGAGCTGCTTGTTATACAGTGTGTCATGGAGAGAACATGTGGCAACAGTTTCTGAGAGCTCAGATTGGCTTAAGTGGTATCAAATTGGAATTCAGCCTGTGGCTGTAACCTGTGCCAGGGGTTCCCAGATTTGTGTTGCTGTAGTGCACAGGCAGTAGCAGTCACAGGTATTAGCAACAGCCATCATTGTAAGTACCGGGGTCAAGGGCAGATCATAAGACAGTGGCTGCTGGAAATGTGCTGTTCCATGCCTATGGGGAGGTGTGCCTCCCATTTGCACCTTCCCATCATATACTTTCCTAATCCTTAAACTACCATATTCCTTCCCAGAGGTACCCATCCTCCCTGTCTTGAGTCAAGATCCACACTGCTCTTTGATTTACAAAACCCCATCTCTGTCAGCTATAACTGTGTTCATGGAGGTATCTTCCCTGTGACCTGGGTAGTTACGCCTTCAGGGATTCCAGTACCATGGCTTAGGAACCACCGCCGTGTCTGTTCATGAACATATCGAGGTGACCTCTTTATGTTTTCACTTTGGGAGAATGCTCCTATCCCTGCAGGACCTGGATCCAGTGGAGGGATGTTCTTGTGTGGGTTTTACACAGAGCCCTTGAGATAAGTTTAAGCCAGGCCATTGCTGAGAGACACTAACCACTGAGTGCCAGAAATGCATCCCTTGTAAACTGCATTCCATTGGTAATGAATTAAATGAATTGCTGAGGTGTCAAAACAGTGCAGGCTGGGGTGAAATGTGACTTGTAAGTGGGAAAGAGAGCGATGAGTGAAAAAACCCTGAAAATAAATCAAGCCACGTTGCTCTTTCCTGATTTTCTAGGGCTGGTTGGTTCTTTAGCATCTTTATTAAGTCTATGCAGGTGAGCTGACTCCAGCACAGAATTCAAATAAAACCAGTGGACAGGCACTAATGCTTTCAAGCAAAGTCCATGACAGCTTTCTGAGTTTGCCTGTATTCTGCCTTTCCAACCTTTAAAGGAGATTGCAGTGAAAACAATATCTTCATAAAATACAGACAAGCAATTACATTTATTAAAGCATGACCGAATGACAGAAAACAAGGCAGGAAGGTCTGGGTCTCTTGTCCCAGGGCAAGGCCAGATCTCTGACCTCTTTAACAGCCTCTGCTGCATAGGAGAAAGGTCCTAGGGACAGTGTTTGAGTGAAGAATGGTGCATTGCAAAGTAGGCTCCTCAAAAGCAGCACTCAAAGCAGCACAGGGTGAACAGCTCAAGTGTTTTGTGGTGAAGTAAACCTTATTTACTCTTCATAAAGCTTCTCCTGTGGTGTTATGCTTGGTAGATCCTAACTTCCAGAGGCAGAATAGTGCAATGTTCTGTATTTGTCCTTTTAAGGGTACATTTGATAATGTAGGCGACCAATCCAGACAGAACTGATGTTCTAATGACTTGTAATGACATCCCAAAAGAGCTTGAAGATTTGAACTGAAGCACTGGCAGGGCATACATGTTGTAGGGTGTGCTTTGCTTGTAAGTGAATGTGTACAGCTTCCACAGAACCAGTAACTGTGTAGAGAGGACTGGGTGCTTTATCTCCTTCTGTATTTTAATACTGTAATTAGTGCAAGGAATTAAAACTGCAAAGAAAAGCTTTTCCTTTTGGCATCCATGGTTTTGCTAGTTCGGAGTCTGAGGGCAGTGTCACCAGACATGGGTTTATTTCTCCATTTAGTTCTTCAGTAAAAAACTGTTGAAAGTCAAACATGTCAAGGACGGCAGCAGATTGCCTCAGAGTTCAGAACAGTTCTCCATTTGTATAGTAAAGGATGGGGCTGAGGAGGTTTTAAAAGAAATGGGATTGTGTGGTATGCGAATCTGAGAATTCTTTAGTGGCTTTGTGCTGTTTCTGTAACTCAGATGTATGTAGCATTGAACAGATAAAATGACAGTTTTATATGATACTCTGTTAGTGCATGGATGGCCTGTGAGTGTGGAGTAACATTCGGAAACCACTTAAGGAAGCCAAAAGGTCATCAGGGAGCCCTTGGCTGTTCTCCCTCCTGATAGGCTGCTCTCCACATCCACCAGTAAACACCAGTTTGGCTTTCAGGAGCTGTGGCTAAACACTCGTCCTGGTTTATAGCAATGCTTTCACTCTACAAATGGGAAGAACTCCTTTGGAAATGCCACAGTTCCATTAGTTTGTTCCAGTATTTGGTCTATTTGCATGTGTCTCCTCTTTTGCAACAGAACTAATTGCAGACCTGATGTGTCAGAACTCATATGGATAAAGTCCCGAGCAACCCGTTCTAATTGGAGCCTATCCCTGCTTTGAGCTAAATCGGTGGACTAAATGAAACCCAGGCATCCCTTCCAAACTCAATTACATTGTGACAGACATACTGAATTGCTCTGGTGCTGGTTGTAGCCCTCACTTTTTAGTGCCTGGCTATGTACTGAGAAAGCTGAGAGTTGTTGTTTAGCCACTGTCTTTACCTTTAAGCCTTCTCCATGGTAGTTTCCAGCAGCTGGGTGTATTCTGTCATCTTTGCTACATTCTTCAGAATCAGACTTTGTGAATTCCTGTGCAAAAATCCTGGCAAGATAGGAGAGAGGGGGCTGGGGAAAGCAGAAGAGTCAAGGGCCAAGCACAAGACAAGCCTTTAAAAGAACCTC